ACATCAGGAGGCGCTACTTCACTGTCAGGGTGGCTAGGATCTGGAACCAACTTCCAAGCGAAGTGGTGCTGGCTCCTACCCTGGGGGTCTTTAAGACAAGGCTAGACAATCACCTTGCTGGGGTTGTTTGACCCCAGTACTCTTTCCTGCCATGGCAGGGGATCAGACTTGATGATCTGCTCAGGTCCATTCCAACCCTACTAACTATGAAACTATAACTCTGTCCCAAATATAGTTGGTCTAATAAAAGATATTGCCCTAAGAAAGCCTTGCCACTAACATGATGTAATGCTTTCTTAAGTCACATAGGATGCTACTTTGATTTTAGGCCACCCAGATAGTAACATAGCTCTTTGCAGTGAACATCAGTGGGATTGACACTAAGTGCTATTTTCAAATAACTTGGGCACCTAAATCACTTCTGGAAATTAGGCACATCATTCACAACCACCCCTTTTTAAGTGTGTCCTTCTGTATTATATCTGTTTCTGCATATTCCAGAAAAAATCAGCCACAGTTAAGAAATTTACTATTGTGTATATAGTAGTGTGTGATAGAGTGAACTCATATGGGTACGTTGTGCAGCAAAACAATGAAGACTCAGTTGCCATCCACATTTGGTATCCTATGTACCTGCATCTTAATGTAATTTACTGCTAGCAGAGTATATTTTCAAATTACAGAAGAGAATGTAAACCATTTAAATGAGGGCTTCTCAAAAAAGTTAAGTTTCACTGTTCTCTTATAACTAGTTCATAGATAAAAGCAATCAGAATTTATTTGCACTATAATAAGACACTTGACTAATGAGAGTTCATCAGAACCTCTAACTCTGCAAAAAGGTGTTTTGAAATGCAGGGGATAGTCCTGTCCAGCTTGTTGTCAGACCAAGCTATGATGCATACAATACAGAAGGCAGAGGGGGTGGCACCTAACTAATTCTGAGAAGTTAACTGACTGACTCATTTTTAAGGGCATGAACTTTCACAGGCTACAACCTGCTTTGTCAGATGCTGTGAATTGATAACATGGATTAATAGCCTACAAAAACTCATACCTCTCTGAATGAGATAATCTATAAGCTGCTACCCTGCCTTGTCTTCTGCTTGACTTCACACTAACATGTCTGTCTTTTTTTATTTAGATTCTTTTTACTCTGCCCATCATCTGGGTATCTATGTTTTTCTCATAATCCCTAAACTTTTAGCTACTTCATCCCTCTCTTGCAGTTTAGCATACAATTTACCCTTCCTTCCTTTTTAGTTCTACGATTATTCCTATCCTTCTAATTCTGGATGTCAACATAACCTAGGCCCATGTTCATGACAATGATAATAATAATGCTGCACCCTTGTGTAATGCTTTAATCAGCAGATTAAAGCATTACACTGTTTTAATCACAGTGTTTTATAAAGAGTATCTATATGACTATCTATATTTGTCATGAAGATGTTTGTCCAAGATTGCCCAATAACAAAACTGGGAATAGAATCCACATCTCTAAACAGCAATCTAGGGGGCATATAACATTTGGGGGGAGTTAGGAGGAGGTTAGACTGCATTAAAAGTGGCCACCCAATCTAACTTGGTTCACCCAGGTGCAGACCTTACATGGAGATCCCTAGTTAGGTACATTTAAGTGAACTGTACAGAAGTTCCAGGAAGGTTAGAGTAGTCTAAAAATGGCCAACCTGATCTAAGTTAACCATACTTCAGAGGTAGTTTAATTTAGGTAGAGTTGGCCATTCTTAGACAGATCTAACTTTCCTGACATTCTGTACAGTTTCCTGTGCATCCCCAGGGCTGGAAAAGCCCAGTTGCAAGCCCCAGCCCCAAGGCTAAGCTTTTTGTACCTGCCTTCAGCACTGGGGGCTATTTTAAGCCCCCCCACCCCACAGACCAGCTAGTTCCACCCTCCCTCACCCCCAAGCCTGCCAAACCCACATCCCACAAGCTATGTTTTATCAGCACTCACTGATGCCAGGAGCTGAGGAAGTAAGTCCCGGTGAGGAGAGGTGTGGGAGGGATGGGGGGTGTTGGTGTACCAGGGGAAGCCAAAGAGCTAAAAATAGCCCCTGGTATCTCCCTCCCCCCCAGCCCTTCTGTTGACCCTGTGAGCTCCCCTGATCCCAACAAACTGTCCTGAAGACCCCTCCTGCCCCCCCACAAAGCCTGGTTGCCAACCCCCAATCCTCCCAAGCACCTCCCTGCTAGCCCCCATCGTCCTGACTTATCTTAGATCAGGTGGCTATTTTTAACTTGGTGGTTATTTGGAACTCCATCTAACCTCCCTGAAAG